GAATCCCTAACAGCCAGGCAGGAATCCGGTCCCCAAATTAAACATGCTTTAAGTTAGCATGGCAGCAGCAATATTAATGTGCCTTCTCTCATTGAATATTGGTTCAGAGACGAATTGCTTGGAAAATCCACAGAAACCTCTCTCACCAGGACAGTCTTAAATCATGGACTCATACATCCCAGTAGGTGGTCATCTAGTCCATCTCGCCTGAACAGTTTCTTTGAAAGAGCTATCCAGTGTTCCCGCTTCCTTTCTTTCACCATGCCTGAGTAAATTTATCCTTTGCAAGCGTATATCCAACTTTCTTTTGAAATTCCCTTAAATAGCTCAACTATCTTGACAATAACAAAATCTCAAATCTCTTATCTTGAAAGGCTGCTATAAATTTCATTGTTTGGTAATACCATTTGTTGCGTTTTGCTTGAAATTAGTTCCTTCTTGGGTGCTGAAGAACCAAATATCTCCTTGACCCACTTGCTTTCATCTCTTGTTGACCCATCAAGGTGCAAAATTGACTATGATTGTAAAATAGCAAGCCCACACTATTTATCCCCTCTAGCTGATGGAAGGTTCTTTATAACAGGAGATTGCTATGGAGCAATGACAAAGAGAAGCAAGGAGCCAATACATTTTCTCCCTCCACTTCTGGAAAAAAAGCTACAAAGCAGTCGTGTCAAAGAAGTGGAAACACAAACTAAAGCTGATGTACACTAGAAACTAGGAGGAAGCCATGTGTCTGCACAGTTACTGTAATATGCCAAACTCAGAGGCAGCTTTCTCCAAGTTGCCTCTTATGGTTTGGATAATTGCCTATTGGTTTGCATAGAACGATGAACGGAGTTCTGAAAAAACATTTAGCAACCTCAGATATTAACCTATTAAAGTTCAACTTGAACTAATTTTCAATAAGATCGAATACTTTGACTCCTTTGACTACATGCAAGTATAGATAAAAGCAAGTCCTGGCTAATGATTTCCAGATTTTTTTTAAAAGAACCAGTATTAAAGGTTGTCAAGGGATATGGGTAGAGGTTGGGAAACTGGAATTGAGGTGAATCAGCCAGAGTCTTACTAAAATGGCACAGAACAGGTTTAGGTGTTGTATGGCCTAATCCTTTTTCTCATGTAACCATTCCCAACACACACTGGATAATACTAAAAATTCTGAAATAGATTATTGACCAGGCACATAAGCTGCTGAAAAGTAACCATGAACTGATGATGGAATTGAACAAACTACTGACACCATCAAGCATACAAAACTTGCTTTCTTTAATCTGAAACTAGCATTAAATAAGGCTCGTAATGTAATTAGTGTGGTTAGCTGGTTAAACATACTTCAATTGCGAGTAAATCAAAAGTAGTAAATTTAATTCAACCAGTCAAAAAGTATTCTTGTCTGTCCTGCCACAGCTGCTTTTCTGTCTATTCCTACAAGAGTTACGTATTGCATTGTTAATAGTCTTCTTTTGCATAGCAATATCTTGCTATTGTGGAGCTTCCTCAGGGGAAAGATGGGTTAACAATATGCTTCTATCCAGTTTTTAAATACAATATCATAACAGTTATACAAACTGGAGCATGCACTTTTTTTTTGAATCACTTCAGGGTCAAAAAGAATCAAAGGCTTACTCCAGCTGATGCTTCTGATCCTTAGGGAAAGTTAGCAACCTATAAAAGTTACGTGAGCCAAGGAAACATGCTTCATTAATGTCTCAGTACATTACACCTTAGCTGACCTCACAAATGCCACACATAGCAGCCTGAAAGAAGATGGTGGTTTAAAAGTTCAGAGCACTTTAACTTTGACCTTAATGAAATGGTAGTGCGCTGTTCTACAGAAGCTTTTAAGCCTGGGTTGTTCAAGGTGGCAAAGTTCCACAGGTATCAAGCCTGTAGAAACACATGCAACAAAATACAGCTCCTCTGACAAATGAAGGAAACTGCAGTACAGTTTATACAATGTGGCCGACCTCCCAACTCATCCTCTGGCCAACATCCCAATAATTTCACCGAAACAAACACAATTCCCAATGGAATTTGCACGCTACAGTGCAGGGCAAGGAATTTAAAAGATGCAATAAATCGAGAATAAGAAGAAAAGAGTGTGATGCTAAATGAAAGACCAAAGACAAGATCCTTTAATTTCATTCCAAAGGCTCATGCAGGACAGCTTGACAAGTACTTCTTGCAGATGTGTGGCCACAAAAATTTGTTTTGCTCCAATGGTGCACTGTAATTTGCAGAGTTGCCAGGGAATACCCCCATATACGTATACAATTAGTACCTATCACAAGATTTCTGCTCTACAACAACCTGAGCTTACTATTCTCTCAGCAGAACTCTTCGGTTGCGCACAAAATGCGGGTAACACCTGGATCCCAGTCTCCTGCTGCCAGTGTGCAGGAGAACATGTTCAGCAACATAAGAAGTCCTGCCTTTCTGCTATGCTTGATGCTGATTTCTTTCAGTGTTTTGGTTATTTTACAATAAGATGCTCATAAATTCTGAATAATTAGAAGTAAACAAAAACAAATTATTTAACTGAATCAATTCAAAACTTATCTTAGCCAATTATCTGCTCAATAGCAGATGGT